TGTAACGCGCGTGGAGTGCGTCCGCATAGAGGTAAGGTTTTAACTATCTGCCATCCATAAATGTTTCATATATTCATTCTCTAAAGTTCTAGTTGCAGTACACTACCCTCAGAGAGTGGCAATAGCTTTTGTTGACACTCTCAGAGAGTGGCAATAGCTTTTGTTGACACTCTCAGAGAGTGGCAATAGCGCTACCCATTAATTTTTCTGATGTAAACCAGAGCTGATCGTCAGCATTTAGTACGGCTGAGAAGTGTAAAAGAGTCGTGCACGAAAAGAGATATTCCCCTATTTGCTAGTTCTCTATTGATGCTAGAAAGCGAAAAAGATGGAACCAGATAGTGAACTGTAACTATGTCGTCACGTGTCGTCAAAAAATAAGGTGTCGATAAGGCAAAAAGGGAGCAGAATTTTTTCGTCCTACCCTACGAAAAATTTAGGCGTAAATGTGACAAAAAAAATCATTAATTTACGCGCCTTTATACGGTATTACTTTGGCATGAAATACGGTACAGGGAGGGTCTCAATAGGCATAACTTAGTACTTAAAGTTGGCGTCTTCATTCAACGATGAAAAGCGGTTTGTTTATCCTGTACAACTCGTTGCTTTTTCATCATATACCTGATCTGCATTAAAAGCACTGTGGTTCGATTATTGACTCCATAGATTTCAAAACTTCATTATCGATTAATGATGGTGTTTTGCGTTTAAATTCTCTTCGTCTTAATCAAAATAAATAAAAAAATGCTACTATTTATTGTGAATGTTGATAATAAATAGATTGAATTTTAAATATGAACTTTTCTTACAAAAATTTCGTATTTCTGAGAGAGGAGCCTTAAATTTTATTGAGGCTATGCACTCCACATCTAATAGTCATGATACCAGTTGTTCTGTTAATCGAGTCAATCTTTCTTTATGACTCTAATAAAATTTAATCGAGATAGTCTACCGGAATTCCGGAATTTCTCTTCAAGACTCGATAAATTACTTGAATATAGTATTTACGCTCCCTCTATGGCAATAAACGGTTATTACCAATAATGACAACTCAATAAGCGATAAACATTGTGCGAAAGATTGAAAAATCGACTTTTTTAGCGCTTAAAGTTTCAAAGTGAAGTGCATAGGTCGATTAAGAAATTATTTTACGGTAAAGAAAGCTCCGCAACTTAAAAGGTCCGTTCTTATTAGGCACATTTACTCTATAGAAGACTGATCTTTAGCTTTGAACATCGTGCAAAAGCTCAACTTTTACGGGAAGAATGAGTTTCAACCTTATCTATCCTTGAATGTTTAATTAAGAATTCCAATCCGTCATCCATTGATTATTCTTCACAATAGTGATCTTGTCAAAAGAAGAGAATCGATGCCGACAAGAACCTAGAACGTAATTAATAGAAATATGGTCACAAGCTTTTGCATCAGATTCTTCAAAATCAAAATCACTATAATTACTCTACATTTAGTTTTGGATTTTATTTGTGATTATTAAAGTTCAATTTTTCGTACTTCTTTCAATGGTGATCTACATACAATCGTCGATTTCATCATATGACACATATAACAAGAGAGAACTTAGGAAAAGAATAAAAATTTTCTAAGTGAAAAATCAAATATACTATTTCATTCATTTATACACCTATCAGTATTGGGGCCCGTAAAAATTTTTGTCTTTTCATTTATTACTGCTGAGAACTCAACCAATGCATATTTATCACCAAGGTACTAAAAGTTCAAGCCATAGGCGGCGGAGCCTGTAGGCTCGTTAGGCTTGAGCCTTACCTGAATTGGGCACTATTAAGCTCAGCCTTACCTGAATTGAAATTTGTTCGCTGTCGAATTTGACTCCGTTCGTAGTCTATGTCAACGTATAATATATAAAAGTTTTGAGGAGTAACCAATAATCTTATACTGAGCCTTACCTGATTTGAAAACGTTCCGCCGCCCCTGGTTCAAGCAGTAATGCATAGAGATTTTCATTGGGATAACTATGTTTTATTATTACAACACAGAAATGTAATTTACATTATAACTAAATAAACATAAGTGACTCAAGTGCTTCCACATAGATGAAAAAAGAAAGAATGGAAAAAGAAAAAATGTGATTGTTATCTGTTATTCGATTGTGTAACAGCAAACGGGTAGTTAATTAATTAATTGCATTGATAAAACAAAATTTGTAAATACAACAGAAATATCTCTAAGAAAGCTACAACGAAACCTGACAGTATCGTTTACCAACTGTAACTTGTTGTTATTGATACTTTTCAAACCACACTTATATTTGTGAGATCCTCTGAAAGTCTTTTGAAAAACTTAATTTTATACCTATTGAATTCTACATTGTTTTTTACTTATGTGCTTATATGTTGACAAGATTTCAATGAAAATTCAAGATTTTACTCAAAGTTGACCACCCCCATTTCGGTGCACAAATGCCAAGAAAAAAGAAAGGGTAGTGTTTCAATAAAGATACAATATTTTCAAAAAAGCGATCTGTACCTTTTCCCCCACTGATATGATGATTCGAATGAAGATAAGAAAATTATTTTCTCTCTTAACTAGAAAAACTAGACAGGTTTGCAAGATGAACAGAGACTCTTGTTTGGTTCTAGTCGAGTTTCTCAAAATCTGATTCCATTATAACTACGGAAACTGTCGAATTCGGTTTTCTATAGTCAGTTTTGCATGCCGAATCAGAAAGCAATCACACTCAAAATGATAGATCGGGAATAAATATGGAATTCTGATTATTTCCAAGAATTTCATGTATTTTTACCTCGTTTTAAAAATCAATATTTTGAAAATTTTCGCCCAAGAATGACTTCATAAAGTCTTAAGTAGACTTTTTTCTATCTGACTCGATGAGTTCTATCCAACTATAGCAGACAGAATGAAAAAAAATTCTGCTCCGTTTTTGCATTATTGCGCATCATACATTATTCTCTATACAGTGTGAGTTTAGGATTTTTATCTTTTCTTTCCTTTGCGGTATTACATAATCACGTAAATGATTGAGAATAAAAAATATAACATTCTTTGCGCCCGTCACTATTTAGGTATTTCTTTCATAACAGAAGCGCAAAAATTCAGTTGTGGTTATTGTCCCATCTACATGAAAGCACGTGAGTCACTTATATTCCGTTAGTTAATGTAATTTACATTTCTATGTTGTAATGATAAAACATAGCTATAGTATAAAAAGAAGTGTTGTTCGATTGGAATTATTATTTTATCTTGTCTCTTTATCTTCGAATAAAGTGTTACATTTACAAAAGTAATGGATACCACTAGCATTACTTCTGTTGCTCCAATGGATACGACAGAACAAGAAGGAATGCCGTCAGACGTTCAAGCTCTATATCTAATGACAAAATTGAAATTAGATCGTTTTAAAGAAAAAAAATCCAGATTAGATCAAGGTTATGCCAGAATAATGGAGCAAATAAACACCACTTTACCACTTATAGATAAAATTCAAGTTATGTACGATGAAATTAGGCGATTATTTGTGTATGATGAAAAAGATGACTATTTAAACAGTTTTGAGTCATCACTCAGACTGGCTAGAGCAAGCACATCGACTAGTGATAATTTATTACAGACTATGTATGATCGATTATTGAGAATACTAGATGGCGGAAAAAGACGTACAGAATACAATTTTCTATTTGGTTCGATCATGTCACAATGGCTTCAAACAAAAACAAGTGGTGATATGACAATTGCTGATGAAGAAGAAGAGAATAATACAACAGCTATTGGTGAACGTCTGATCACAAACGAGAAATTGGAAACAATTATTTTCGATCGTCCACAATTAGATTTAAATCAATGGCGTGATTTTCTGGTGCATCAACTATTCCATTTTAACAATGAAAAAGAGAAAGAAGCATTTGATAAATTTAAATTAGGTATAACTGACTATGGTGAGAAAACATTATTTGAACGAAAAGTAACACCAGACGATATTCGTGAGGCGATTGACGAGTTGCTTAGAAATGATTTCTTTGATGATCATCGTAAACGTTTGATTAATAAATTGAAAATGGATGCAAGTGCAGTTGAAGAATTTACATCAAGTCTAAATTTAATGATCAACGAAATTGGGGAATGGAATTGGCCATTGACCGGAGTGCGTGGTGTATTTCGGCGAAAATTGGCTGGAAGATATCGTTGTTTCTATGAGGAAGATTTTCTCACCGCTGTTTTTTTACAATATCTAGGAAATAAATGGAGTCAAGAATTTAAATACCAATTGGTTCGTTTATTTGATTCTCTTATGGGTAAGAATGAAGATTGTTCATCTGACTCAATTGAATATAAACGATATAAAATGCGACGCGATGATTATTGGGTAGCATTACTTCATAGCGAACGTGATGAACGTCATTATCCCACAACAACCACTGCGTATGACGGTTATGACGATGGTAATGGAATTGTGAATATGAAACAGAAGCTATTGTATTTAGTTAATGTTGAAATACAATTACATCAACAATTGCGTCCACAACAACCATTTACAGTTGTTTGTGCCGATATGGAATGGCTTGGTCCGTCGATTTCACATGAAGTTGTACAAATACTCCTTGAAGTATGTGGTATTCCACGAATATGGCTAGATTTTTTCGATCGTTTTCTGAAAATGCCAGTCTATTATCAACCGGGTGAACCAATTCGTATTCGACAACGTGGTTGTCCCATGTCGCATTCTCTATCATTTCTATTTGCAGAATTATTACTATTTGCTATGGATTTATATGTTTATCGAAACACACAAATATTTAATTATCGTTTACATGATGATTTTTGGTTTTTTGATTCACAATCCGAAAACATACAAAAAGCATGGCAATTGATGTGTGAATATGCTGATCTGACTGGTCTAAAATTAAACAAGGAAAAATGTGGATCAATAAAAATTGGAGACAATGCAACTGCAGCACAGTCATTTGGCGATGCAGCACTACCGCAAAATCATGTTAAATGGGGTTTTTTATATTTACAATCCAATGGTCGTTTTACCATTCAAAATGATTTACTTGTGCCATATTTGAATGAAATGAAAGAACGATTGAATGGAGCGAAGTCCATTATGGCATGGGTTACCATTTATAATAAATATGTAGCATTTTTTCTACGTAATTTTGGTAAATGTGCTAATGTACTGGGTACCTATCACACCCAACAAACAATTAAAGCATTTCAATATATTCATCAATATTTGTTTCCAGATGCACATGGAAATGCATTGACAGTCTTAATGCAATTAATTGTTGATCAGTTTAAACCTATAACAAATTCTTCTTCCGATTTATCTGAATGTTGGTTCTATTGGCCATTGACAAAAGGGGGTTTAGGATTGACAAATGTTTATTTGGAAGTCTTTGCTATTCATATACAATTGGAAATGAATGCAAAACTAGAGACATTTTCAACATTACCCATAAAAGATAAACAGTTATATGATGATTTAATTATACACTTTCAAAGTTTAATAAAAAAGCGATCATTCGATTTATCAAAACAGTTTCCCGATCGATATCTTCATGATGATAATACATTTATTACTTTCGATGAGTATATAAAACAACGTGAAGCCTATATGCCACATTGGACGCATGTTTATGAAACATTGCTTGAAATAACACAACCTGCTTTACCGCAACCAACGTCGATAGTCAATAAATATCACCTGTCTCAAAGACGGAGAAGAACACGAAATATTTCCATGAATGATGCTTATTCGGAATGGTTAGCCTATTACTATGGTCAACAATTGGAAGATACATTTAATCAGTTAGACTTTATCGATTCACAGAGTTTACCGATCGGATTGATTTCAACGATGAAAGCAAGTCAAATTAACTGGGATAAAGGAAGAAAAGTTTATAAACGTCAACATTCATCTGATACACGTTAAGTAGTTTTAGACACGTATCTATTATTTTTCTAGTTTTTTGCTTGTATTAAGATGAGTTTGTAAAAAATAAACTTCGATTTTCTGTTTGATTTTTATTCGTTCTTCGCTATTTCTATAACATTATGAAACAAGGCTCTTCTTTAGAAATGTAGTGAGAGTTCTATATCGAAGCTAACACTTAATCGCCGCGCATGTAGGAAATGGATTGTTTATTTTTGTATTTTCCATTTTGTTGTCATATGAACAGGCAGTTTAGAAACAAAAATTCGTGGTTTTGCCACACTATTCTGAATCTTCAAAAGCTAAAAGATCAAAAAGTGATGATTAAGTATCGCAGTTATATTTCTTACGTGTATCTCAGTCAAACTCAGCTAATCCTTGGCGGCTGTTCTCATGTTTTGACTTCATGGCTGTTCACAGCTCCGGTTGAACCTACAAGAGAATGTATAGAAGAAGTTCGAGTTTTTTCCATTAGCGCCAGGGTTTTCATGCATGGATCGATGGTCTCCATTATGCTACCTCTAGGCGCCAATATTTTGCTATTGGTACAGGCGTATGCAAACATATGTGGTTTAGAGACCATTTTCTGAGAAAGATTTTCTAATACCAGTACAGTGATGAAATATACTTTGAGAAATCATTCACCTGACTACTCCAGAGATGCCGATAAATGTGCGCACACATGTCGACATATACAGTCACTTAGTTTGTTTTCAGTAGATAGAAATTCTTTGTTCTTCTTTTAAAGAAGAACAAGATAATATCCGTGTTGTCGATGAAAGAAATACAGTGAAACTGGTAGTTGTTTAAAAAAAGTAAACCCGTTGTGATTGCTATTTGGTAACGATTATAGCGATACACTTTGGACTGTAGTTCGTTGTATTAACTCGAAGACACGATTCTATTAATTCACATTTATTTTCTTGATTTTTTAAATAAAATAATAGTCGCTCAGCAGGTGATCGATGTCGAATGCGTTTTTCATTATCAAAAGATCCATATTGTCATCCAATAAGCTGAAATAATACACCCCACTAAAACGGGAAGTGTAATAGCTTTAATAATGTTGAAAAAGTTTATCTTCAGCCATTTTCGCTTTACAAGCCGCTGATTATCAGCATTCTGACTCAAATTGTTCTTCCGCATCATCTAGAACATCCTTAGCGATTATCTAGAAAGTAGAAATTTCGATTTTCGAAAAGTCCATATATAAAATCGCTGAGGTTTTTCTAGCTTCTAGAAAACCGAACTTCAAACAGCCTAGAACATTCAACTCGAATTTCAAGAAAGTTGGAAAACCGAGCTAATTTTCTAGAATTAATTCCCAACAATCTAAAAAATCGATGTCAATTTTCCAACTTTCTTGGAAATTAGATTTTTTATAATCTGGAAAATCCGTGAAGATTTCGTATACGAACTTTTTGAAAATCGCCGGGCATTTTCTGTAAATAATTTGCGACTTTACGATGTAATCACAATTAATTTATGAACATACTATGTTCCAGTTCACCTGTAGAAAACGTCATTATCGATCATTCACCAGAGCAACACTCATCTCTAATCCATGATTAAATTTCATTTTTTCTTACACACTTTTTGTGCAGGCATGCTCAGTGTACGACACTTTTTCCAATAACGGTTCATCGTTAGAGAGGCTTTCCTTTTTTTAATCGAAAGAGCGAAGAATTCCACGTGGGCTGACGGGAATCGAATTTTTAATTAGACCATAATTGTTTAGAAAATCAAGGATCCTAGGAAACTGAAAAGGAGGTTTTGAAGTTGTTGGATCTCTAGACAACGAACAAAGACTTAATTGAAAAATCGAGCACGAGAGTGAACAGAGACAGTTTTAATTCTGGAATTTCCACGGAACCGTGGAACTTGACACCGCTGGAAGATGACGTGGAGAAAAACGGATCTATTGACATAAACATTTAAGTAATAATTAAACCGTTCTATGCCCAGTGTTTTCATAATCAAGTAGAAAATCATTCGCTCTGTTATGTTGTTCTCTGAAAAGGTGAAATAAATCTGGGAAACATTTCAATTTAGAGAAAAAAAATTTAGAAATCATTATAGATAGTCTATCGTTATTTGCATTAATTGGAAAAGTTACTATAAGAAACGTAAATAATACATCACTAAGAGAAACAGTATGCATCTATCTAAATACATTGAGTTTTCAAATAACAACCTCTACAGTCGTCTAGGAACAGATTTCAACAGTACTCTAGCTATGAAATTTGTTAAGTTAATCGAAAATGACTTGCCCGTTTTTTTTGGTAGTCTCAGTAAAGCGGTTTTCTCAGCAACGAGACAAAATTTTAAGAAAAGTGATGCATATTTTTTTAAAGCCAGGCTTACAGTGAATCTAATGAAGTACAAAACCCAGCTTTATCCTGTAACATGAAAAACTAGATTGGTTTACAAAATTACTTGCCAACACGTTAGATTGGTTTGGGACAGTCATATTGTACAGGTCTTTAACTTCAAAATCGATCAAACCCTAATTTTCTATTCAGTTTTTAATGCTGGATAAGAAAGAAATAACTTACTTTGAAAAACCTATGCGAACAAATAAGACGAAAATTATAATTTTTTTGAACTTGAAAGGTTATAAGAAATTTTACATCCTTTAACTTTTATCAATTTTATACGATGAAAACACGTTTTTGAAAAATTAAGAAATACATTTTTTTAATCAGCTAAATGAGCTCTTGCCAACGATATATAATACGCTCTAAAAAAATTCTGTTGAAAGTTCGTGTAATTTGCGCCTTACATCGATGACATACATTGAGTGTCTGTTGATTTAGGTTTTTAAAATATTTGCTTTAGCTTTTTTATACGCAGTTTTGTATACTGAATCAGAATATAATAATTCTGAAATTTTAAAAAAAGAATAAAATAAGATGCTCGCAATTCAAAGTCTGAGCAAATACTTTTTTGCCTTTTGTCATAGTTGGATAGAGCTCGTAGAGCTAGTTAAGAGAATATTGGTTTTGATTTGTTTAAAGTAGTTTTTACTGATGAAAAGGGTAAAAAAATCAAATCAACATTCTCTTAACCAGCTCTACGAGCTCTATCCAACTACGACAAAAGGCAAAAAAATATTTGCTCGGACTTTGAATTATTGATGTCTTACTAAGATACAGGTTATACTTTGTCTTTTGCTTTGCTACTTTCACTTTGTCTCTTTGGTCCAACGGTCAAAGAATTCTAGTTGTACTTCTAGACACTAAACAATCTATGGAACCAAATTGATTATCGCCAGATAAATTAGTATGTTTAAGCCTAGACGAACTGTTAACTATGGTTAGATTTTCATTCGAAGCAATTCATTTTACTAAAAAAAAATGAATGATTTAGACATCGCCTATAAGCAAAAACGTTTTTTTAGTTTGAAGAGAGCTTCGAATTTCTCTAAATGTGAATGAAATCGCCGAATAATTTTCCACGGCAACGAAAATTTCATCCAGTAGGCTTCGAAAATCTAAATTGATTATTAAGTGCCTATAGGCGTTTATCATATCTATAATCTAATTTGACCTATTTCTAATACAAACAAAATATTCGTATCTAGTCTCGATTGCCGATAGTACATCCCTGTATTGTACGTTACATAATGACACGAAATTGTAGACAGTCAGATGATACCAATTTGGCACTTTTCTTTCATTTACACATAAAATTGCGAACATAAAATTAACTACGGAGGATCGTAATGGGGAAAATGATGAAGAATTTTTTGACTGCTTGATATTTGCGTGTAATTTTAAAGATGATCTGGATAAGAATACAGAAGAATTATTTAAAGAAGAAAAACATGAATCGAACCGAAGTGTCCTCATCGTACTAAAGAAAGCTCGAAACGCGTTTTAGAGAAATACACGGTTAATTTAATGTTGGTAAACCTGCATTAACTGGAGATATTGAAATGAATATTAAACAGCATAAGTTTTCACTGAGGGATGATACAATAGAATGGGTTATGTCAAGTGATAATAATTGTAAAGTCTGTCCAAATAAATGTTCATATAGTGGACATTATTATGCAGAAAAAACCGTTATTGTTACGAAAGAAAATGTTAAAAATATCTATATGATATTAAATCCCGATATGGTTTAGCATCAAATATAATGAATCAAATTTTCAAGCAAAATTAACAACTGCTACTATCCATTTCAAAATAGAATGGCCGGTCAGTGTTGACCTTATAGCTCCGGAACGGTGATAGATAGAGAGGTGCGGTTTTCACCATTCGAAAG